CCTCTCCTTCATTGTCCTCCTTCTTGCAAGAGCTCTGCACTGAGAGCTTGCAGAGCGCCCTCCTCTTGCACCACTCTGTCCTTTTCCATTGCTCACCTGCCCCACTACATTTTCTCCCTCTGGTTGCTCCCCAGATTAATTTGAAAGCTTTACAGGATCCTCAGGTGGCATCAGTGACTCACTCCTGCCTTAAGCTCTGACCATAAAATAGCCATGATTTGCAGAAAGCTGTTGTTATTTGTGTGTGGAAGTGATGGAGAAGGATTGCATGTAAGCAATTGGCAAATTTTTAGTGCCATACTGCATTGTTTGTAATAGGGCACTAAAAATGGCAACAAATCCATCTCTGTGTGTAAACAAGAACGGGCAGGACTAATGTGTATTGCCTCACAACAAAAAGTATTAGACTCTCTCTCTCTCTCTCTCTCTCTCTCTCTCTCTCTCTCTGTGTGTGTGTGTGTGTGTGTGTGAGACTGCAATTGCCCAACTCCCCCAGCCAATCTCTGTGTTGGTGAGGGGATTCTGGAAGTTGTAGTACAAAAATGTGAAGTTTCTAAGCTTTGGTGATGAGAGATTTTCCGCTGCAGGCATGAAAATGTATAACTGATTTGGAAGACATGCAGGTCTTGAACAAAGCTACCAGGCTATTGGCAGATTACAGTATTTTGAAAAGATATTATGGAACTCCTGACCAAGAAGAATGGGATAACCAGCCTTGCGGGGGAGGAAAGATACTGCTGGCAGCTGTGATACCCCCCTCCCAGCTGTTGCTCCTGAGTCTTCCCTGGCTTTCCTCCTGTGCTGGAGGAAAGGGCTAGGTGTTCCACTGCATAGCTGATGGGGGTGGGCAATAGAAAAGGTTAGAGAGGTGCAAAAAGAGGGCGCTCTGCAAGCTATCGGTACAGATGCCCCCAGTTGTCTTGGGGGACACTGGAATGGCAATTAGGTTAAATTAAATTAAACAGTCTCTCTTAAAATAAAGCAGCTGTACAGGTTCATGAGAGAAGAAATGATACAATAATACAGCAGTACAATAGCCTTCTGTGCAAAGAATCAGCTAGTAGAGGGAGACACCTACACTAGGTTGGTTTTTTCTCAACATTCCATGTGTTGCTCTGGGACTAAGATTGCCTTTTTCAGGGCCCTAGCTAAAGCCTTAGGGGATGGCTGCGCTTTTATTGGCCTCCAGCAGGGGACACACATCTCAGTGTGAGCCATGCTGGAAGAGAAGGTGTGTGTTTGTGTCTGTGTTGGCTTTAATGTTTGACTACCTGTATCGCTTCTACACTCCTAAATGGTATGAGAGTATAGGGCACATAATATTGGCTTTGGATATTAGTGCAGGGAATCTATACAGGCTCACTGTTCCTTATGTAGTATTTTGCAATTGCTACACAAGGGCCTATTCTCATGTCATCACAAAAATCCACTAACTGATCTCAGATTTTGGCCCCACTGTCTCATAGAAAGGGAGCCTGGTGACCTGGAAGCCCTATTTATGTATTATAATTTCAGTTTGGGATGAAGATGAGACACAGACAAACGGGTCAGAACCCTATTCCATTATTTGAGTGTATAACAGCAGTCATACAACCAATTAGAGTCAGTATGTCAGAAGACTAGTGTATGCCCTATTATCTTCTAGTTGTTCAGTGGGGCATACAACTGGAAGCTAGCAAATTGTGAAACCTGAGTTATTATTCAAGGCATTTTGTCATAAGATTTTGGCCTGTATAAGATCTCTAGGTGTTGAAATGGAGAGACCAGAAAAACTGCATGGTAGAAATTGCCTGAGATAGCATTGGAAGTCAGCATGGCCTCACATTCCACAGGATTCCACTGCTAAGGCCCCCTCAGACAAGACTTCCTCACCACTGCACCCTATTTGTCCATCTGTCATTCGTGTCATCCCTGACTATATTGGTAGGGAGGAGAAAGGGATACCACTACCTGCTTGATCACAGGGCTTTCTACCACTGAGGTAATAAAAAGAAAATAGGACACAGGACAGCAGCAGCTGGTGACCATGGCAGTGAGAATATAGATTTACTTAGGAGAGTCCATTGAGAGTGCCTCATCCAAGGCCCTCAAAAACCTCCAGGCCGTATTGGAATTGGCCTTATGGATGTATATGTGTGTACACGTATATACGCATTGCTATTTTCTGCCTCCTTTTTGGTCAGGAGAGGCAGCCAAGTCGACCTTTTGTGTGAAATCTCCTTCATTTTTCCTAACAAGGTTTTTTATCTTTACATTCTCATTCACAGAATTTTACAGAAAGTTCAGATGATGCACTTTTCCACATCACTTGTATTTTCCTGCTGCTTCATGCATCTTTTTCCTTTCACCAAAAATCTATTGAGGAAAAGCCAGGAAGACCTGTGCAATTTTGTTTAGCTGGCAACACCAGATAATGGCCATCCAGAAGTGTTCTGTCTCCCAGTAAAGAAGAGGTAAATCAATGCCCTGCCCATAAATACGACTTTCTGACAGATATCTGTTCCACTGCAGGTACAAATTAGCCCATTCCTAAACATGTCAATTCATATAACCCACTGTATTCAATAGAGCTTACCCTAAGATGTGATTTTTTTTGTTCTCATTGAAAAAAGCATGTCCTCATGAGACAATGTGCAAAACATGATCAATTACTGCAATAATTTTCTCTCCTTCAAGAGTACAAAAAGACCGCCAATTCTTAAAAGCAGCATCTGAAAAAATGTTTTTGCATGAAAAACTTATATATGTCTTTAAAACATTGTTTTGTGCTAAGGACAACGATTTCTGCATAAAGTAAAATGTTCCTACATTTTCTGAGCAAAATAGATTTTTTAAAAATTAAAAATGTTAATTTTTCAGAATGTTGTTTAATTTAGATCAGCTGGGTGGAAGATACCCTTGTGTAAGCTCTAGTCAGTGATGGTATGGTGATGTAAAGGTGACTTTCTCAATGGAGAGAGTGATGCAGAAGTTTGTATGGAAAATTTAGAAATAAATATGGAAGAAGAGAGTTAGAGGAACAGAGCCCTCAGCTTGATTGTATCCAGTTTGTTGGCATAGTCATAGAGCAGGAGAGGCAATCCAGTTCTCTATGAACAAAAGAATTTCATCAGCACCACCGGTAAGTGAAACTCCAGTATTCTCCAACACACAACACACTCATTTTGTCCTGTTCATAAAAATCAATCTGGAATTTGCTTCCTGTTGAATTACTACCTCATGTACTTAGAAAGGCGAACTGTTGCCATGTTTTGACTTAGTAGTTTCATTTCTTTTAGTGGTTTAATAATTTTTCAACAGTGTGAAAACTAGTATTCAGTTGCTGTGCCTGAAGTAAGCCCAAGTGAAAAGGAATCAGGTTCTGGCATTTTCCCTGCTTTGTGTCTTTGTGAATGGTACTGAGCACAATCTTAGACCATCTAAGCTACTGACATAGGTGTCGTCAACATTCAGAATGCCCTGTGCTTTGTAACGTTTGACATCTTTCTTGTTGTTGGCAATGTGGGCACAATGTTGTGCAGCAATATCAGGCTATTTCCTGGTATTCTGAATCATGGATGCAAAAGGATAATAATATTCCACATTCATAAACTGGAGGGTTCTTTTTTAACTGAATAAATCAAAGTGACACTAGGTGGCACTAAAACCTTCTTCTGATGCCTCTAAACTAGGCTCACAAGAAGGTGGAAAATATGAATGGGCTTGCAATTAACAGCTGCATGAATAATTTGACTAGAAGGCAAGCACTTTTAAGACTGCAGCTCCCATTAGCCCTAGTCAGGACAACCTGAAGCAACAGATAATGGAAGTTGCAGCCCAGTATCACATCAAAGGCTGCAATTTGCCCACCCCTGCCTTAAGAGGTGATTTTCAGACAACACAAAACTGCTGCTTGCTTAATTTCACAGAGCTGGGGTGAGGGGTGTTGATCCTCTAAGCCATGTAGTCTGGCTCTATACTCCATGTAGCAATCAAAGAACAGTTTAAAAGTCTTATGGAACTTCCTCTACCATATGAATACACACAGAAAATTCATCACTGTGTAAATCATCCCTTAAGGTTTGCTTACTATGCACAAAGTTCGTTTTCTACCAAGGCTCTTCCTACTAGATCTGCATTTGTTAGTAATCTCTCAATTCTGCTGAAAAGCCTTACATTTCTCACTCTTCCCTTGAGTATTTATGTGCACAGCATACAGCAGCGTTCCCTGTTCTGGTGCCCTCTAATGGTACTATGGGCTGGGGATGATGGGCGTTGCATTCAGCTGGTATGAAAGACCATGCTAGGAGAGGCTGGGAACACTTGCAATCTAATTTTTCCACTTGCCACTTATTAATTCTTGTGTTATGTTCTATTTTTCTTCAAATGAGCTCAAGTCATGGATCTCCACTGCCCACTTTAACCACACAATGATCTGATGAGGTAGGTGAGACTTAGAAACTAAGACTTTTCTAAAGTGAACCAGTGAGTGTTATGGCTCAATGGGGACTAGAACACAGATTTCCCAAGCGCTGTTTTGATACCTGAACTACTGTGCCACAGGGGCTCTCTTAGGGTACAGTAACAGTGAAGCCAGTGGCACATTGATTTATAAAGCCAAATTTCAGCCCATCTAATTCATCATAAATCAAAGCACATCTTTTTTAAGTACGGTTCATCCTTTCAGCTTTAAAAAGCTTCTTTTCCCACCCTCCAGCTCTCTTTCCAAATTCTTTTAAATAATAATTTTTAAAATCTTGTAATTTTTTTTTTAAATTTAAAAAGAACACCAAACTGAAAATGAGGCCCTTTCATTGATATAGCCCTGATGATGCAGTTTCTTTACTTTGCAATGACCCAATCTATTGTAGAGGAGATTCGCTGAATGCAAATTTTGATCAGCTGCATTCAATGCATCCCAGAATTAGATATGATGTCACTATAGCAACGAGAAGGTCCAGAGGCAATGAGAGTATTGGTGAGTTGAATCCTTCAAAGAAAATCAATAAGAAGCATGAACAAATTGGAAAAAAATTGCTTTTACTTAAAATGGAATATATCATAAACAACTCACTTTATACACTGACCGGAATTTAGGTCCAATTTGACCTGTGTAGTGATGAAGAAGGCACAAAAGTGGGGGCAGGCTGAGACAAGTTATAAACCCCCCCTGGTTCCATGCCTTGGATTGGGGGAAGGCAGCATTGGAAACCAACTCCCATAAGCCCAAGACAACATGCCCAGTGGACAGGGACTCAGAGAGTTCTAGTCAAAAATATCCAGGGAAGACAAGACTGCCATTCACTGGCTTTGGCCAGTCTTACCATAATGCAACACACTTGAGGCCTCAGCCATTGGCAAATGGAATGGCTCCCTCCTCAGCAACGTCTGAGTCATTCACGTGGTTCTTTTAACTGTAACAGATTCCATTTCACCATCCACAGAATGCGGATGTTTCTCAAGAGGTACGTGTGCCGTACTTCTGTCTGACCTATCTGTTTAGAAATCAGAAGAAACAGCCACTTCTTGGGCATGCCAGGATGGTGGAGAAAATGGAAAAGCCATCTGAAAGACATCTTCCTTGTTGTACCCCTGCTGGGCACCTCTTTCCTAGCTCCATGGAAATTTTCACGGCAAGCCTACGCACTGGTTCTTTTAACACTGTTCAGGTGCTTGGTCACTGGGAGTCCAGCTTGTTCTTCATTTACCATCATAGACAAGTCTGTTTAGCCAGATGGCGCTCCGCAGAAGCTGATAATGAAGCAGCTTAACATTCAGCTGCTAATATGAAATGGTTTCCATATTGTAAAAGAAGAAAAGAAGTCACACAGGCTATGTACTGTTAAGTAAATATAAGGCATGGTACAAAATGGCCCTTGAGATGGATCTTCTTGTAATGGAGAGCTACACTAGACCAGCCGCTTTCTCTTGCACATTGTATTCCTTGTTCTTTGTCACCCTCCAGCTGATGAAACTTAAAATGAGAATGCCAACTATTTTGTAACCCACTTGGAGACCTAAGTACCTGCCAAGAGAAAAGAAAAGAATGATTAAGGCTTGCTGGCAATCTCTCCCTTTAAGCTACGTAGCTTTCCCTGAAGTTTTTTTATATAAACAAAGATTATTTACGTTGGCAAAACTTTGATTTTGATTTCAAAATTACAAGTTGATTCAGGAAAAAAAATATTGAAATAGAATTCTTTGTACTTCCAAAGTACACATGCTAGTACACACTTAAATCACTCTACCTATCAGCAAACTGTAATCAACACTTTAAAATCTCATTGGCTTTGTTGTTAAGCCTACTGTCATTTTGAAGCTTCACTATGTGTGCCGCTTATATCCCTTTTTGTCCCCCCACCCTCTACACTCATTTAACTGTTTCCATTCATCTATGGCTCATGATTCTAAACTAGACAAATAAATCAATTTGCACAATACTTTAAGGTGTTTCTTGTTTGGCAGAAAGGAAAAACGAAGACATGGAAAAACTTCCATCAAAGAAACAATAAACTGAAAAGTACCAACACTTTGGTTTTGGAATGAGACTTTGGAAGAAGCCAGATGCAACTGGGATGGTATGAAGTAGAAATGGGGACAAAGCACCAAAATAGAGAATGAAAAGAGAAATATAAAAAGGTTACATTTGTTGCTTCGTATTTGTCAGGGTCTCTGGACTCCAAGAATATGAAGCAATGAATATTTGATGAATCAGGGATATTTGTTGAATATCCTGATTCATTTTTAAATTTGTCCCCATTTCTAGTAATAAGGCCAGTGAGAGAGGATCTTGCCTTCCATTCATATTTCTCTTTCCCCCCCAATCATTGTAAGGTAGCATACAAGGCTCTCCTCAGTACTTTCTCCTCACAAATGGAGCCTGAAAAGGAATGTGTTGACAAATCTCAAAGTTACAGGGTTGTGTTTTTGGTAAAAAGGACAATATCAAAAGGGATATATGAGTAAGAATGCAGATGTAACGAGTAATGTTTTAAGTGGTTTTTAAAAGTTACCTTTAAAGCCATTTTTACAGGCAATTTTGACAGGAACTTTTCAAGTTTTCATGACAAGCCATCACCACAAATTTTGATCACTTGATAACTGCATGGGCTTTCCCTGTCTTTCCTGGCCTGACCTCTCTCCCCACCTCCTCCTTAGATAACCCTCCACTCTTCCTGGGGGCCACGGAGGTACAGCCTTCTCCTAGAAAGTAGGGCCTAGGCTGTCCAGTACACTATGTGGAAAATATCTCTGAAAGTAGAAAGGATACATATACAGTAGCCTATATTTTTATCTCCTTAGAGGTATATTAACTGTTGGGATAGCTCAGTGGTTTAGGTATCTGGCTGTGGAGCCAGAGGTTGGGATTTTGATTCCCTACTGTGCCTCCTATGAGCAGAGCCAGCCTGTGTGACCTTGGGCAAGCTGCATAGTCTCTGATCCACCCCAGAAGAAGGGAAGGGTAAACCACTTCTGAGTATTCTCTACCTGGAAAATCCTGCGCACATGGTTGTTGTTAGAAGTGCGTTATTTGCTCAGAGGTCTGAGGTTTCTGACTTTGCTGAAGACCTGACTGTCTTCCTAAAAGAGAGGTAGGTGTGGTAATAAAGAAATGTTGCAGGAATGTTGCAAAATGTTCATGGAACTAAGGATCCTATTGTCTATTGCTGTGACTCTGTGGTCTGTATTCTGGGCCACTGTGTGGAACAACCGTCAGGAATGAAAGCCCTACCTGGCTGCATTGATTCAGTGGGAGAAAACCTCACACCATCCACATGACATTAATACAGGAGGGCTGGGCCTGTGGGATAGGAGCCCAAACAAGCATTCCTAGCGCTTTTTGCCAACTAGATCAGACAGGCTTGGGTCAAGACCAGCAGGCAAGGATTTCTTACTGGCTTTGGGACAGATGTCAGAGGAAAGCCTGAACAGGTACAATCTATCTCTTGTTTCTCCACACTGAGGTCAAACAATTTTACAGCTATCTGATTAATAGTGTGTTTGTATTTTGCTTACGCAGGTTTGCCAATGCAGAGCACTACAGCAGCATGCCTCCCACAACGAAGGCTGTGGAATTTGGGAACTGAGGGGAGAGATCCTTTCTTCTCCCAGTCATGCACTGGACTGTGTCTTCTCCCACACTAGCCACCCTTCTCCTGCCCAGTGTGGCCAAGGGAGTGGAAGAATAGCGACTCTTGATTAATCACTGCAATGGTTTCTTATGACCAGGAAACAGTCCTTCAGATTACAATTATTTTCAGCAGAGCCAGTTCACAGAACATTCTGCTTGTATCCAGCATTGCACACACGTTCATGAACCAATCAATTTATTTAAAATACTCTTTTGTGTCAGCAACCCCCCGTGTAAAAGAATGGTGTGCCTAAAAGATTGGTCTTTTTTACTATCCCTCTGGGTGAAACACAAGGTCAGTGTCCCTCTTTTGGCTTGCTGCTGATCCAGAGATATCTGTTTCCACAACTACGGTATCAGAGCTAGCTAATATCTGCTGGAGACATCTAATAGCAACCTGACGTGTAAGGTTTTGTTGGGTGTGGGCTCAGGGGGAATTCCTAGGCTCGCCAGTCTGGCCCCAGATCAGAGCCACAGCAAGTCCTTCAAACAGGATTTTCCCCCCAAAATAAAATAGAATGAAGCAAAAACTTTGAAATTCCCAAATTGATGCAAGAGGCTGCCAAGAGATGTATTCACGCACATAGCCTCAGGAACCTGTATAATTGAGTCTTCCATAAACTGTTCCATGGAATAGTCACTCAATAGTTCTTAGGTTCAGAGAGTTTTTTTTTTAAAAAAAAAATCACAGCCCTAAGGCTCCGCATGATGTCATAACATATAGAAGCAATCAGAGTAGGGATCAGAGCATGGAGGCCTGTGGGAGAGGAAAGGGAAGACGCAGATTCAGGCAGCAATGAGCCTCATTTGAAAAACAGTCACTTGCGGGAGTAACTACATCTCTAAGAGAGAGGACCTAAGAAATCAGAGTAGAGAGTCTGTTTGCTGACTCTTGAGTCCCAATATTGGGGTTTGTGTTGTTCAGAATGAAAATAATTTATTTCTTTTAATGCCGCAGACTCTCATATGAGATTGCGAACTAGAGTGACAAAACCGCTGAAGGAATAGGCGATACCTCGCGTTAGACCACTAAAACAATCAAACAAATTGCAAGCTTTTGTGGACAAGATTTCACTTCATCAGGCTAAGCACCATCACTTCATGGATAGTGCAGAAAAATTGTAGATTAGAGTTAAAAAATTGATGGTTGATGTCCACACCAAGTCTCTTTACAGAGATGATTTCAAAACTCAGGCTGCAATTGTCATCTGAATGTGTGTGTGCGATCTCAAATGCCATCCCTTGCAGCATGGTTGGAATTTTACACCCTGTTCGTAAGACCAAAAAGTTCACCAATTACTCTGTGATTGCACACACACACAAATACACATGTCTCTGCCACAAAAATATCAGGCAAATCTTCTCTGCAAGGTCTCTCTGAGGACAGGATAAAATACGTACACATAAAAACACCTCCAGGGACTGGAGAAATGGGATAAACATTTGGCCAAAAAAGAGTGTAGTTAATAACATGATTTGAAAGAACCCTCTGGTATCCCAGGCAAGAAAATTTCCCATCTAATTCAAGGAAACTGCTTAGGTGTGTTACCTGTTGCGGAAGAGATCGTTGTCATAGTAAACACAGGATCCGCTACCTTTATTGCACCCCTTCCTCCATAAGATGCACGAGGAGTCAATGATTAAGCCAAAAAGGGCAGGAGCTGGCAGCCAAGCTTAAAAAGAAGGTGGAGAGAAAGAACGAGGTTGGAAAGGTTCAAAATTGTAGGTGAAAGCACACCTCTTCTCTATCACACTATATTTTGGCTACCCAGGAGCCTCACATGGTCACATCTGATATATAATGTCCTCGTTCAATCTGTGAGCACCAGACTACGTAGATGATATATGTAACATGTCATTGTTACATACAAGAGCTTCCTAAAGACAAAAAGGCTGTCTGTTCATTCTAGCATAAACTTGTCACAACGCACATTTGCCAAATTAGTCAGCCTTTGTTTGGTTATTGGTCAGCCGGGAAGCAACATGATTTGATTTGCATGTATAATGCTTTGCACACACATTTCTGAATGGTTTGTGGGTTCAGAGGGACAACATTGTAATTTTTATCTGATTTACCCCCAAGAACCTATTTTCCATTTTTTTTCTAGTGGAAATAAAATTGGAAAATTTAGAAAAAACTGGACTAAAATATGTATTTTCGGAAAGACTAAAACAGTTCTTAAGACAAAGCTTTACTTATTCAGAAGGCCAGGTACTGCACATATGACTACGACCATGTAAGACAGCCCACAGAAGTAGAAAATGACCATCCCCGTCTGTACTTTAGACATACAGAACACTCTAATCCAAGATTGCCGTTCTTCATCTAGTAGGTGCCTCCACCTTCATGAAAGGAGCATACGGAGGTGGTTTCATTGCTAATGGATTGCTGCTTGCCTTCAGCTAATGTCTTTTGCTTTCGTTTCAAAGATACAATCACTGCAGAAGGAAACTAGTTCTGTCTACATAACACATACTATTTTGCTTATTACAACATTTCTTATTTCTGTTTTAATTTCCTCCCTGCTTTTCAAATGGCAAAAAAATAATATATATATGCTTAGGCAGCAGAGGGAGCAGCAGTTTGCAACTCTCTATTTGGCTTAAAGGCATATTTCCAATTTTGTTTTCATAAGCTAAGGTATGTATATCTTTTAAATTCCATAAAGATACCAAACGAGTTATGAATGAAATGCTTTACAGCAGAAAAAAATGTTTAGATTTAATATATAATAAGTATAGCATATATCTTAATTTTCTTCCAAATTTCAGGTTTTCTTAAACAAAAATAGGGGAGAGAAAACATTTTCCCCCAATGGCTTCATACTTTTTTGAAATTTGACACTTCTATTCTGCCCTTGTAAACATCAATTGATATTTTGTTGTTAAGTTCTCTCAATTTACAGTGGTGCCTCGTATAATGAGCGCCCTGTTTAACGACGAATCCGCTTTACGATTTTTCCCCATAGGCCCCATTTCCCCTCAGCTAACCAGCGGGCGCTTCGGAGCGACCATGGTGGAGGCTTCTCCGGCGGTCGCTCCGAAGCCAGCGCCGCCCAGCTGGGGGGAGAAGGCCACCTGCAGCGTTTTCACGCCTCGTTTACTGAGGCAGCGAAAATGGCAGCCGGATGGGGGATTCTTCGCTTACCAGTGAGTTTTTCCCCAATAGGAACGCATTAAACGAAGTTTAATGCGTTCCTATGGGTTCCCCCCCGCATAGCGAAGAATCCGGATAGCGACGTTAATACTGGAACGGATTAATGTCGCTATGCGGGGCACCACTGTACTTAGGATTTATTGTGACTCTATAAATTAGTGATTTAAAAGGTCATTTGATTAACAGTCCTGTTCAAGTTTTGCAAACTCAAGGCTGTCGCTGCTTTTACTGGGTCAATCTACTGCCTAGTTGGTCTTTTTTTTCCTGCTGCCTTCCTCTTTTCCCAGCATTACTCTCTCAGTGAGTCTTACCATATTGTCAAAAGTATAATAACCTCAGTTTAGTCACTGTCATTTCTAGGGAAGAATTCATGCTTGATAAGTATGAGCCAGCTACAGTCGGCTGGGGGGGGGGAAGGAGCTAAGTGCTAGCGTGGGCAAACCTCCTCAGCAAGGGCAGAAGGGTTGTTGGCCATGAAGGAAACACCTGGGGCAGATGAGGGTGGTGGCCCTAAACCCTCCCCCAGAGAAACAGCTTTCGGCTGGGGGGGAGGAGCTAAGTGCCTGCGTGGGCAAACCCCCTCAGCAAGGGCAGAAGGGTTGTTGGCCATGAAGGAAACACCTGGGGCAGATGAGGGTGGTGGCCCTAAACCCTCCCCCAGAGAAACAGCTGTAGCTGCAGCTCAGGTAGATATAGAGGAAAGTAAGCAAGGAGAGGGGGAGGAGGAACTGGACATTTGGGAGGCTTGGGAGTTTTGGGAGAAAATAGTCTGCTGGGGGAGACGCTGAAAGGAGCTTCTAAGAGGCCTGCATTTCCGGAGGACTGCTGGCTTATCTGAAGGGAAGCTGAAAGCTAGAAGCTTCCAGGGTCAGCCGGTGCTGCACAGCCTCTTCTGCTTGCTGGATGCCGTCCTGGGGGACTTGGCTGGCAAAGATTATTTAACAGCCTGGACCTTTCAGCCAAGACAAGTTGCCATGGGAGTGAAGTAATTCCCTCGAAGCTGGGACAGAATATTCTCTCAGCCCTGGAAGAACTGGAAGGATAGAAGGCAACCAATTCCATCCTTGCTGTTTGGGGCTAGAGGCCCCATCCTGCAAAGGACTACAAAGACACTGCTTTTCCTTTCTTTTCTTTTCTTTGTATGCTGAATCTTGCTTTTTCTTTCTTTCTTTTTTCTTTGTATGCTGAGTCCAATAAAGCTTAACTGATCACCAGTACCTGCTGCCTCATTATGGATACAGCGGCTGGGGCTGCTCACAATAAGATACCCTCTAAATTCACATCTAGGAATGGCAATTTGTTTAATTAAAAGGGATTTATGCTACACAACCTTCCTATAAAAGCTTATACATTCATTTTTAATTTTTGCTTCCACTGGTTTTGACTCAAGCAAAACAAACAAATCTCCTTTAAATCAGAAAATCATTCATGTCTCCTGAGCCCAGTTGCAAAAGCTGAATTGTAATACACTCCCAAAGATGTACTGTATTTTTCCGTGTATAAGACACCCCTGTGTATAAGATGCCCCCCCACTTTTCTAACCAAAAGTAAGAAATCTAAGTGGGACTTAGCAAGTGTAGGGGGAAAGGGATGGCTTTGATCCCTGCTTTCCCTTCCACTTGTTTTTGTTCTCTCCTCAGCTTACTTCCGTGTATAAGACGACCCTCAATTTTTATTCTAAAGATTCTAGACAAAAGTATAGTCGTATACATGGAAAAATATGGTAACTGGGAGTATCATGGGATCCAAATGCTTCTCTCCTAATTCCCTTTTCGGGAGCACTGGGGTATTTCATAAGTTTGTTATGAGGCCTCTCTTTTTCTCTGGTGCAATGGCAGCATCCTAATAAGTAGACATTCTGGAAAATGTGTGTAGTGGATAGAATGTTGAACTAGGATTCTGGAGACTTGGGTTCAGATCCTTGCTCAGCCATGGAAACTCACTGATGGGAGTCTGCACTAGAAAACCACTCCTTGAATATCTCACATACCTCAGAAATTCTATTAAGGTCACCTTAAGGCAGAAGCAACTTAATGCCACAAAGCAAATACAGTGGTACCTCGCAGGATGATTACCCCTCAAACTGACGAATCTGCATAATGACGACGTTTTGCGACTGCCATTTTGCTTCGCAAAACAGTGATTTCTATGGGGGGATTTCGCTGAACGACGATTTGGTCCATGTTTCGCGGACTGTTTATTCGCAAGATGAATGATTTAAAACAGCTGATCGGTGGATCTTCGCAAAAAACGGATGTTTTGGGGCCCATTTTTTGCAAGACAGAGATTAAAAATAGTTGATTGGCACTCGCAAAATGGCTGCCATATGGGCGATCTTTGCAAAACGAGAGAGGTATTTTCCCCATTGGAACACATTAAATGGGTTTCAATGCATTCCAATGGGGAAATGGTTTTCGCATGACGATGATTTCGCTAAACAGCGATTTTCACGGAACGGATTATCATCACCATGTGGGGCACCACTGTACAACAGTTTTCAAAAAGTATCCAACTAAGGACTCAAATGGCCTTAGGGTTTTAGGCATCTGGGAAGCTACTGTTCAAGATATCTGGGAGGGAGGAGCAGAGAACAATTTTAGGGCTAAGCAGCATTTCATTTGCAATGTAACCAAGTGCAATGGAACAGGCATATGTGTATTAAAGCAACAATGCAAACATATACAAACTTTGCAATATCACTGATTTTTTTTAAGAGGCAAGGATCCATAAAAGTATATATCAAATTCATCTCCCTGGTGGGACAGGACAAATACATGCTCAACTCCAACTGATTTTTACATAAGGTTTGTGTAACATTATGTGAGTAATTGATGGGATGCCAAGCTACATTTCTATTGTGCACTCAGGTGCATGACCAAGTTGTTATTTGACACCTTTTCAATTAGCAACAATTAGCTGGAACAAGTTACACATGCCCTTTGAGAACATCAGGAGAATTCTGCCCATATTGTTAGAAAAATAAGAAACAATTTGGAATTGAACTTGATGGATTTGCCTATCCTTACTCCCTTATAAATGTATTTAGAATTGCAGCCTCAGGTAGGTACTCACCTAGCAATCTCATCAGCAAAAACTGGACTCCAATGGCAAAAGATTTTTCATCATAATTCACCACCCTGCATAGGACAAATATACAGTGTATCACATATGCAAGACATCGGGCTTAAATGTAAGCTACAGCTGGGGATGGGGAAGCAAAGGTGCTTGATTACATTAGGAGTGTAAGGCTTAAATTTGTCATATATTTCTTGTAGTTAAGCTGCGGAAAGGCCAGTACATGCATCATAAAGATAATCCTTTGCAATGCTAGCACTATAGAAGTACGATATTCTTCTCAGGAAGACTAGCAGATGCCTGGTCTTTCTTATGTTTAGAAGTTGTTAAAATATAGTCAGAATTAGAGATGAGCATGAATTGCTGGGTCAGCAGTTTATGCCCATCTCCAGTCAGAATCAAACTAAACAAGGCAGCTGCTTTGCCTTTAGAAGATGACAGCACATTATTATTCCAGTAAAGAAATTCATTCAGTGCCTCAGAAACTGGACTTGCAAATGAAGCAAGCTAATTAAGATAGGGGAGATGAGAAAAACTTGTTCTTGGATAAATATATGTCTTTTAACACTTAACAGTAGCTCTGCTTCTAAGTATGAAGCTCCTCTCCCTCATCTAATGTGCTCTGTAAAGCCATTTTTGACATTTCACGGACTGTTTACTGCTGATTGTTTTCATTCATAGTGAAAAGGTGGAAAATAAATAGAAATTAATAAATAAGTGAGGGGCAGATGGGAGAAATCTAAAAGCCTATGGCTCAAGATTTGATAAGTTTTGCAGAGGTAATGTCACACATAATGCAATCAATTATGGCCCAGCCAAAAGGTGAACAACTATGGATCTCCCAGGGGCTACACACACACTTCCTTCTCTCTGAAACCCACACAGGAGGCACCCACTGCACCTCATGAAGCCGGAGGTTATCAGAAATTTACTTCTGGCTTTCAAACGCTTTTACTTGGGGTAAAACATTATGCAACATTGATAAGAGTTTAGAGATGGGATATTTAAATTTGTCTCCCAGGGGAGACAAATATGAATATCGCCACCATAGGTGGCCAGACCAATTGGGGGGGGGGAACCCAACTTACTGCTTGAGGGACAGCATGCACAATTGTCATTGTTTGCCCCACACCAATCATGAAATACTGTAGCCTGATCAGGGATTTCCTGCCTCTCTGTGCTGCTGAGCAGGGAGACTTATCATCCTGCCTCCTCACCAGATTGGTTAGTAGTGCAGGGAGGCAGGGAAACCCTGGCCGGGCTACTTCTGTGATTGGCATGATGTGAACGATGACGGCCACATGCTGCAAGTGGTAAGTGGATAGCCCAGTCGTGGAGGGAGGTAAGTGGATAGCCCAGTCGTGTGGTGGCAATACTCGTATTAATCTCCCTGGGGAGATGAATACGAATATCCCATGATCTAATAGAGTTTAATAAGAGAATTACACCCCTCAAGGTGCAAATCTTCATCTTACTATTTTGGGGGAGGGGAAGCAACGGAAAGCTTGCAGGACTGAGGGGACAGGAGGCACATAAAAGGCTTGAGCAGGCTGCCTACAACTCAGAAGCTAGTTCACATCCCTGTCTGCCTTAGATCCTTCTTACAGGCATGTTTGATAGAAACACATGAGAGAGCCTTCTCTGTTGCCAGACTTCTCTGTGACTTCTCTGTGCCAGACTTTGGCACTCCTTTCCACAGGAAGCCAGGCTGGCCCCATCTTTGCTGTCTGTCTGCAAGCAGGCAGAGGCCTTTTTCTTCAACCAAGTTTTCCCTTAATGCCTGACTGCCTGGGATTTTTAAACAGCATTGTTGTGCCTTAATGTTTTTTATGTGTTTTTAGTACTGTGTTTGTTTACCATTTCTTAAAGTGGTGTTTGCTTTTAAGTATTGCTTTTAAAGTTTGCTTTTAAATATTGTACTGTTTAATGATTGATGCAAGCCGCCTTTGGTCCTCTGTAAGTAGAAAGGTGAGGTAAAAATATTTTAAGTAAACAAACAATTTACCGTAACACCATCATGTAGAGGGGGTTATGACACAGGCAAGCAATGAGTGCTGCAAAGGAGATGAGGAGTATAACAGATAGCAACATATGGGCACAGCTCACTGGGCAGGATCCAGTCTTTGCCAAGGACTGTCCGTTCTTGGCAGGGATGCAGGAGCAGTTTGTGTAGATCTAGTTGGAACAACAGGAGGAGAGTTAAATTCATCTTAGAGAATCTAGTCATGCACCAAGAGGAATCACAGCTCAGAGACAGCGTGCAGCATTTTTCAAACAAAAGACTCAGGTACAATTCCTTGCACTTCGGCTTTTAAAAAGTAGGTAGCAGGTAAAAGACCTTTTGCTAAGACTTTGGAGTGCAACTGCTAACCAGAACAAACTATAGCTGGACACCCTGTGGATCTCCAGATGCGATTCTGTAAGCTGCTCACTTGTGCCACAGACAATATCAAGTGAGATTAACAAGTAATTTGATGTGAGGTAAGTCAGCTTCTTACACTCCCATGTTTCATGATTCTAGCACCCCCAGCTGTTCAATTAAGGTGATCAGGTGTGTTGCTTGCTTGCTGTGACTGTGCTGTCTGGAATGCACCAAACTATTACTAAAAATTAATGCTATGTGTTTAAAATTATATGCTATGTTTTAGAATTTGTGGGTCAACTCTCCTGCAAGCTTAGAACATGTCTCAAAAATTTAGATAGAGTCACAGAGATAATTATTTCTTTAAGAATTAAATGCTTGGGCTCTTTCCCAATCAGCTTAACTGTGATCACATGCAAATATGCAAAAGCCCCAACAAATTGAATAATAAAAAAAAAGCTATACCGAACTTCAAAAAGATGGTCAGACCTGGGCTTCGGCACCCCTCTATGTGTATGCCAAGTTCCCATGGTACACTGCTGGTACTGAAGCCCTTTAGGGTTATTTTGTAAAATGTGACAGGGCACCAGAGAGGTTTCTCAAGATGTTGGGTATGTACAAACTAACATTTTCACTTGCATTTGGGAGGCTGTGGAAAGTCTTGCCTTCACAACACTACCAGTAAAGCTGTCCCATGGATACATTAGACAAGTCTGCACTGTATTCCTCATTGTTCCTTTTGATATTTATTCTGTTGACTTCATAATGTTAATGCTAACTGTGAGTAGAGCCAATATTTCGGCATGAGTATGTGATATATTTTGTTCAGTTGACAAGACTTGTGATTTTCTTGGTAGTCTTCCCACTTAGATTATTTTGTCTTGCTTTCAGCTTGTGTGATCACCTAGATTGGTCCCATATTGTCATTCATGCCACAGTGACACTGCTAATGATGCACAAAGTAGGCTGCAGTGTAAGAGTGAACATTACTCCTTTTGCATGCATTGTGCTCACACTAAGGATTACAATTACAGTTCAATTTGCAAGCTGCATTTTTTTTTAAAAAATTCTCCTAATTTATCACTATAACCCTAAACTGATATAGCACTAATTCAAATGCTTTCTATGTCTTGCTAGTTCAGCAATATTTCACTTGCTAAACATTACTTTTAAAAAGAGAGATTTAAATGTCAACAAAAGAGGGAGGTGATAATGGCAGGGAGAGGGAGAAGTGAGGTTGTGCGATGTGTGGAAATGCACCTACCCAAAATAATGTGTGAGCTGTAGCAGTGATTTAAGTGCCAGAGTGCAGCACAGACAAGTTTGCATCAACCCAAAGCAAACCTCTGTGTCGCCATACCCTTACAAAGAGTTAACTGATCTGTTTACCACTCCTTTATTTATTCTGAATGGCAGCGATTCTCTAGGTTTTCATATACTGTATAACTTCCTCTTCACATGCCCATTTTTACTGCAGATGCAAGGGAATGAACCTGGAAATTGACATAAACAGTGCAATTCTTGGAAAAAGTTACATTATTGAGTCAGGGATTCTTGGGAATTAAAATTTTACCTTTTCTGAGTCTCATGTATGATCAGGTGAACTCAGTCAAAATGCCAATCTCTCGACAAGCTGAATGCTGCTTAAATTTGAGCTCATAAAGCTAATACATAGCCTTTAAAAATTATAGCTCCTCATCCTAAAATACTGATTGACATTACTTACGGCGGCCTTGGGCATGGAAGAATTGGAGAAGAACACAGTACAGCCAGCATGGCAGGGAGAAAGATACTCTATGCCATCATCTCCGCAGACTGGATAGAAGAGATCCTCTGAGCAGGAACATTGTTGGTTACATTTATTTCTCTCTGGGAGACTTGTACTGCCAGGAGGAAAAAAAAGAAAGAATAAAGAGATAAGGAAAGAAAAAATAAAGTGAAATTAGATAAAAGTTGAAAGATCTTTTCTTGAATTCACTGGATAATGAACCACCATCTCAATCTCTTCCTGTTGGGTCCTTGCCACCCTAAATTCTTGCCTATTGCCAACGTCTTACCTTTGTAAGATATCTCTGCTTTTTTTCAGAATTTTTTTCATAATTATTACTCACAGTTACATGCAAAAACAAAAATAAACTCAAACACACAGAAAAAAACATTTGATGCCTGGAATGATAAAACTAAGGCAAATCTTTTCACTGAGCACCCAAGAAAGAACAAAGAAAAATCCCAACTCAAAGGAAATAATAATTAATCCTGCAAGCATTTTAGATGCAAAGTATAATCCAATACTGAGAGCATAGGAAATAATGTGAAAGATACTGCAATCTGGCATCTAAAGCCAATGTCATCTAAAGAAAGCTTTACCTGTAATAGCCATAGGCTAAGATCTTATCATTCTTTCTCAGCCCAGCACCCTCAGAGCCTTTCTAACTGTAGGCATAACAACCTTTACGTAAGTAACAGAAGTGCTGAAAGTAAACTGAATGTTGCAGCTGTTTTTATTTCAGTTCTATCCTCTTATCTCTCCGTCTCTCCAGCCGCCCATCTAATCTGCCCTAACTCCCCACTACAGTGCATTCTCTTTCTCCCACATGACTGTTTATACCCATTTCACTGTATTCCATCTGACTACTCCCCATATCAGGTTCACTTCATCATCCTCTGGAAGGGAAGTCAACTTCTCAGCTTTGGAATGAGCTACCACTCAAAATCTGCATGGCTCCCTCTCTGGGGACCTTCAAGAAAGCCCTCAAAACCTTTGCATTTCATCAAGCTTTTCAAAACATGTGCTCTGAAAAACTGCTGAGAGTATCAGCCTACCATTTATAATTGGCACTTGTTTTTAAATGTAATATTAATTTTAATTTTCACTTTGATTATGCTTGTATTATTTTTTTGTTATTGCCACTGTTGTAAACTGCCCAGAGTGCCAAGAAAGAAAGAAAGAAAGAAAGAAAGAAGAAAGAAAGAAAGAAAGAAAGAAAGAAAGAAAGAAAGAAAGAAAGAAAGAAAGAAAGAAAGAAAGAAAGAAAGAAAGAAAGAAAATGCATCTCAGCTGCTGTGTTGTCCAAACAGGAGGTGCTTGGTCACATGTTTCAGAAAACATGTGTAATAGCAAAACGAATAGTCTTGTGTCACGTTAAAGGCTAGCATGTTTTATTTAGCATAAGCTTTCATGGGTCCTGGCCACTTCATCAGATGCATGGAGTGAAGCTGCAGAAGGCAGGGATTTATACATATGGCAGGGGGAGAGTTGTAATAATGTTTCTCTTTGTCTTGGTTGCTTCACATGCACTTTAAGTAGTTCACATCAATGGAAAAACAGAGAGAGATATTTCATAATGCTATTAAAAAAAATCTAAGGCCATGACAAAGCTGGTGGCTGGATACCTTAGCAAGTTAGGCATCTGGCTACAGATTCAGAGGTTGGGAATTTGATTCCCCACTGTGCTCCTAGGAGAAACAGCAGCCTGTGTGGCCTTGGACAAGCTGTACAGTTTTAGAGCACTCAAAGAGGGAATGGTAAACCATGTCTGAGTACTCTATACTTAGAAAATCCTGGAAAGGGTCACCATAAGTCAAAATCAAAATGATGGTACACAATTATTATTGTTTGAGTGTATGAAACACAAATAGATCATAAATAGACTCTGGACAACTGAACTTCATTGTTTCATTGAATAATACTTTGCAATCTTATACTGAAAATTTGCTCATGAGGTAATTAATGAGGGAATTGTTCTCGTTAACTACTTAGAGAATTGGAACAAAGAGAGAAAAAAAGGAGAAATAGTTCAGAACGGACAGTAGAATAGGGGGCTGGAAATATATGACAGAGGAAATCTTGTGTGTTCCTGATTTTAGTCACTCCAAGCTGTCCTTTTCTGTAGTGTGCCTACAGAGAGCATATTACCTTTCCGGATAAATTCCATCCACCGTCTGTGTGGAGCAGCCCATAAAGAAGAGAGGGAGGCAGCAGAGCGTGGAGACAAGTAGCACAGCAATGGCAAACCGTGGGATGGTTTTGAGGGAGAAGCCAAACCTCTTCATGATGATGCCTCCAAACAGCATTCCCAGAGCAGCTGCAGGCAGATTTATGGCTCCTAAAACGTAAGGGAAAAGAAGCAACACTGCTTGGAGTACCCTAGAAGTGCAAGCAAAATCTCTTCTACAAACTGGCACTGACAACCCAGCTTTATGCTTCTGCATGGCAACGCTGACCTTTATTAGGCTTGTACAGATGCAGGGCCATAATTCTCCACTGCATTGGGGGCTTCCACACACGACAGAGCATCTACTTGAGTACTGCCATCCTCATAGGGATTTGCATGTTGTATACTGGCAGCCACCAATATGTCAGGATGACATGTCCATGTGCTGTGATTCCAGCCAGTGTACCTTGTCTGGGAAGTGGGCTGCATCCAACCTCTGGAGCAGCAGAGGGAATTTTACACCCTTCAAGACTATGCTTGTGGCCCTAGGGATCCTCCTGGGCCTTCTATCTCTGGAAAAAGAAAGCAGTGAAAGAGGGTAGAGCTGCTGTTCCTGAAAACTGGCAGGGGCAGTATCACTTTTCTTAAACAAGGTACAGAGTCTCTTTCCCCAAGACTAAAAAACCTAAGATTTCTAGATGTTTGTATTTTCTGTGTTTTTTTTTTAAATCATTTTTTAAAGTAGGGAAAACTGCACTAGAGTCTGGGAGGAGGAAACAGATCCTTATCATTTTCTCACCCTTGTTTCAGAGAAAAACCAGATGCATGGAAAAAGTGTGTGTTGACATCTTCCCTTCAATACCCTTTGTCCCCACACACATACAAGACAAAGTGGCATCCAAGGCCACTGCTGCCATAGAGCAAGAGAGGTGAAGTACAAGGTCTGCCCTTGCTTATCCCACAGTAGGGAGATGTAGCAAAGAGAGCCTGTGCTCCTCCTTCTTCTAAGCACCCTCTAAGCCACTGGAGGGTGCTTAGTTTGTTGCAGAGACAGTTGTTCAAGGGCAACTCAAGCAGAGGGCAGATTGTTCATTTAACCCAGCAAATGTGATCTCTAAACTGGGTAGCAGTGTCCCCACCCCCTCTGCAAACAAATACATCTGAAAAATAAAACTTTTCAGGAGGAGGTGGAGGATTGGGGCTGATTCACAACTTGTGTTTGATGGTCATCCATGTGTAATAACTTCCTCTTTGAGGTATCCTTTGGCTTAACCAGCAGGCTCCAAAACCCACTCACTTCTCAAGGTTTTGCCTTGAATTCTGAATAATATTCAGTGCCCTCCATCCAGTGAGATTAAGGGGTATTCATTTCTTCCACATCTGCATCTGCCTCTTCTACACCCTTTGTCCTGATCCCTTCACCAGTCCCCTTCACACACCACAGACATTTGGCTCCAAAGCTTTGAGGAATGGTTCCAAAAGGCATGTTCACAAAATTTCAGCCATTTGGTTAAGGCTGGTTCAGGCCAGCTTAGTTCAGAGCTACTACAATTCTCTCACCAATGAGAAAGTTTGCATAGGAAGCACTGGCACCAAACTGTTTCTCCAGGTACTTGTTGAGGAAGGTGGAGAGGCCAGCAATGACAGAGGAGAAGCTGCACTGGGCCACGACCAACCACATAAAGAGTGGATTGAGGAGCAGCTTTAGAAAACCTCGTGGGAACTCTGAAAAGAACAAAGGAGAATGAGATGCCAAGTTTACAGATGCTTGCCTCACATGTTTTAAGAATCTGACATGAGAAGATCAGAGTTCTAGGAATAATCCTGGTGTAACATCTGGAAGGTATCATGTTTCTCAAAGGACAGGTCCCAGTTTGACCAATCTGGTCCTATAACATGGCTTAAAATGTTACATTTTCAAATTACAGCTCCCAGAATCCTCAGTCATGATAGGCAATGAGCATGCTTGCTGCAGAATTCTGCAGCAATTATTTTTAGCAGCTGAAGCAACATCTGTCCTAGAATTTTTTGGAGTTGCTGTTGCTATTTTTGTTCTTCTCTCTTCCACTGCATGTGAACAGAGACACCCATCTACAAAGTGCTAATATCATTACAATGTGTACTGATTTGCATTGCTAGTTAGATATATATTATCCCTTTACTACTTTCACAAAATGTACAGTGCTCCTTCCTGATTTGTAGGATGATTTCAGCAACTTATCCCTTCTGAGTGATCAAGGCAATTTTTTGAAAAGCCATACATATCCACTCCATCAAAAACTTTGAAAAACAGGGGTACATAAATAAAATAATCTCACCACTTGTCAGAATGATATGAACAACCAAGATTATGCTACATCATTACCTGCTAAGAAGTTTACTTATATTTGCTTTGTTGTGATTCATCTTCATCTGTGAAGATCAAACCAAATTTGGTGCAGCCTGAGAGCAGATTCAACAATTATGTTGCAGAAGGAACCAACCAAGAAGCAGGTAAAGCAAATACTGCCTTGGCTAAGCATTAGCGAGAAATCTGACTACGATAGGTTTATCTTTACAACATCTGTTGTGGAAACAGAATTATCAGAGGCTGCAGATCATACTGGCCACATTGTTACTTCAGAGCTTAGAAAAGTAGCTTTTTTGGACTACTATGTGCAGAATCCCATGGCTATAATGGCTAGGGGACTCTAGGTATTGTGGTATTCAACAGTAACTTTTCCAAGCTGTACCACCTCCAGGAACAGAGGCTGCATGCTTCTGAATTACCAGTTGCTGAGGAACAGGAGAGAGAGAGAGAGAGAGAGAAAGAGACTGTTCATCTCATGCCCTGCTTTTAAGTGTCCTATGGGTATCTAGTTGCACACCATTGGATACAGGCTGCAAAACTAGATAGATATAGGTACTGATCCAGCAGGAACCCCTACAGTCTTAAGGAAGACATGTTATGTATGCAATGTGCCGAACTGCATTAAGGCTGTATATGCTGACCTCTAGACAAAGGTAGCAGAGGCCTGCAGCCTCAAAGACTGTGAAGAAAACAGCCACATAAAGCCATACCGAATGAGCCAGGTCAAATCCTGAAAATTCCAAGACAGATGCTTTTTCATTTGCTAAATGACTTTGGGGGTGAATACATGGGGCATTTAGCCCATTGTTTGGTCAACTGTGCAGATGTGCTGGTTCATTCTTTTTGCCAGTGATCATATGACATAATTAGTATAGCAAACCAGCCTGCCCCCAAAGCATTCCTACCTGCACCTTTCTAGGTCCCTGTCAGGGGCTACTCTTTTTTATGTGTGAGATTGTTTCATTTTGGTTCATTTTCAGGATGTGTGGTCACTGAGAGTAAACCGAGGCTGAGCTTCCTGCTTTAATGACCCAGCTGGTTTCAATTGCTATATCATTAGTGGTTTAAACAGACAAGTTAGCCACTTTAATGATATTGGAAAACTGGAAAATTAAAAATTAAGCATTTTTTTAAAAAGCCAATTAGGGCAATGTTGATACATGGTACCTCTTAGACCAGTGGTCCCCAACCTTGGGCCTCCAGATGTTCTTGGACTACAACTCCCAGAAGCCTTCACCACCACCTCTGCTGGCCAGGATTTCTTAGACAACCCAGAAGCAGGAGGAGACAGGAGAGGGATTTTTTTCCTTTACTTTTCCCCCCCAAAGAGGCAGACCAAATAGGGTTACTTGAAGTGTATATGCCATGCAAATGCAAAGATCATGCCACATGGCATACTGGATCTCTACCAAACCTTAAGCAACCTTATTTTGCCTGCACCAGCCTGCTATAAATGAGCCATGTAGCCAAGTCCTTTGTTTTTCTCCTAAAAATACTTAAGAATATTTTACTTTTAATGAAATCCATAAGAGATCCTTCCTCTGCCTTGATTTTTTCAATCTTCTTCAGGATGTCCACCTCAGATTCTGGGTGCTAGAAAAGAAAAACAGGGAACGCTTTATATAAATAAGCCAGTCATAGCGGGAAACAAGCAGAAACAGTGGTATATTCTGTCCAGCTGATAGCGCCCTGGGAACTACATCTACAGCCTATGGCATCAGAACATACATAGTAAGCAAGAAACAGCATGCCGACTCAGGGGAAGGCCCAACACAAAAGCATACCCAGCTTTTCATGTGCTTCACCCAATCTTGTCAACAGAAGAAGATTCAGGAATGTATGCTCTTTCCCCAGCAGGACAAAAGGGCTGAGGTAAGGAACAAAAAAGGTGCATCTGAGCAAATACACCTTGCCAGTCACTGTACAATGTCATCCCCCCTGTTTGAAATATACTTTGTTTGATTTTGCCTGTTGCCAAGGCTGAGACCTTTGTCTTCATTTTACCTCATAGCATGAATGGAAGCTAACACAAACCTTGCTTCCTTTTCTTTCTTGTTTATAAGCATCTGAAGCATTTAAGTGCTGCTTTGAGCTATCTTATTAACACACCCTTCCTTAGGCAGCCCCTGTGACTGCTGCGGAGGATACTGAAAAAATCAGTAACTCCTTTTTTTTCTGGTGAAACTTTCCACTACCATAAAAGACCTAACAGAAAAGGAGGAAGTACAGCATAAAAGCATTAATAGGAGATGGCAAAGCTTTTAAAAGGTTACAGTATTTTTTAAAAGGATGTTTCTCATTCCACTACCACTCTACATATTCTCCTCTCCTCACCGTACTTTTAAGATGAGGAAAGGAGGCAAAAATGTATCAACCATGCAGGTCAGTTAAGGCTTATATAGAAATGTTGATGCTTCCCACACCTTTATTAATAACTTCCTCATTGGGGCTGTGGACACAGTCAATGGCACCCAAGGAAGGCTTCTTTGAGTATCTTGCTCATTTCTTTTTTCACACAACAGCTTCAAACCCTGTCCTCTAATCTTTCAGGCTAGATGTGTCAGATGATAACTCCATCATCCCACAGAAGATGTGGGCTAGGGAGTGAAGGGAGTTGGAATTCAACACATTTAAAAGGCACCAGGAAGACCGACTTGAAAAGAGTTGGTAAGATTCTTTGCAGAAATGTTGGCAATTCACATTCTCAAGACCACTTCTAGAATTGCCAAAATACCTGCATGAGAGAGGCATTTGCATTGCATATGCTTTATTGGACTGTAAAAGGCTCTCCCCAGGGACAGTCCAAATGCAGTTGGTCTGGTCTGTCACAAACCCATGTGTGACTCATGCCTTGGGCAGAAGCAAGCTGTATGTAGCCTGCATGCAGTCATTGGGGGCCAGAATGCACCCCCACAGCACCCTGGGGTCTCCTAGCACTCTCTTTCACAGAAACCAATTAAAAACAAAACAAAACACGGTTTTGCTCCAGAAATCCCCTTGGGCCCTCTAGACCGGGGTAGCGAACCTTTGGCATGCCAAATGTTGTGGACCACAACTCCCACAGTCCTTTATCAATGGCAATATAGATTGGAGATTCTGGAAGCTGTAGATTTTGACATCTGGAATGACAAAAGTCTGCCACCCCTACTCTAGGAGACATTGAGTGGGTGGCAATATTGGCATGTTTTGATGGGCTTCTAGCACACCTCAATATTTTTTGAAAACTAGCCACCAGGTGGCATAAAAGTAAAAAAACAACATCAGTTTTCATAAGGAAAATGAAATTAGGGCAAAAGCTACTGAAGCAACCCTCCAGGGTCCACACATGGGCATGTGTACCTCCGACGACTGTCTTCCATTGCCTGGGACTGAAGGCACAATAAAGCTTTTTCTTCAAATCATTACTGTAGTATCCAAACATCCTGCCAGGGAGAAGAGCAAGAAACCCCCAAACTGATGTGTGTGGGACAGAAGGTGGAATAACTATTGATTCCTGCTTAATCAAGCTCCAGCCTAGGGGATGAACAAATAAACAAGAAGCTAGACTTGTTAAGGGGCCAAATGCAGTAGAGGTATTGCCCTCTACAACTTCCTGGATGCCAAAAGAACAGCAAATAGGACTCTTCCCTCATGCAACCACAACTGAAATCTATCAAGCGAATTTTTTCTTTGAAACATTTAACAGTTAAGGCCTGCAAGGGAGAAACTTCCTTCATAGTCTTCAACCCATGATTTCAGGAGTGGTGTGTGGTCCTCTACAATTCAAGAATTCAGAAAGTTTGCCTCCACTCAGGCACCTGAGACTTACCCTTCCTCTGAGCATGTATCGAGGGAAGAAAAAATAGGGAATAGAAGTCAGGAGCAAGCAGCCGGAGGAAACGAGGAGCCCCAACCACCATGCTCCGATCCAGAGCTGGCTTCCTGGGACCAAGTTCACATCCTCTGAAAGAAAAAAAGGGGAACAGAGTGTGAGGCAAGGGCACCCGCTTCTTGGCATTCAAGCAGTTGCCATGGCATTGTGCTCCATGCGGAGTGAAAGCAGACTAGGGTCCCAATGCAGTTCCTTAGCTTTTTTTTAAAACAGTCCAATCAAGCCCCAAATTTTCCAGGCTTGGGGCCCATCAACTGACTCAGCCAGTCAGTTTTATAAGACTTTGTTACAGGGAAAGTGGTTGCTCCTCCAGATGATGGAGAAGAAGTTTGAAGAAAAATGCCTGGAAAAAGAGAGGGAGAAGGAAGGGGCTAGCTTCTCCATGGGCCTGAATATAGCAAATGGAGCCTGATAAAAATCTTTCATGCAGGGAAAATCTAACAGCATCTATGTTATAAAAGATAGTTTGCTGGAATGTTATTCTCAAGTGGACTATAGCCAAAGTATCAGGGTAAGCTGATGCATCCAATTCACTTGTATATTTATAAAGTTAATTACGGAAACCAGCCCTTTTTCCTTTTGGATGTCTGGGGCTTCTGGGAGTGGTTAACCTGTACTATATATTGAGTGCACATCTGGAAACATGAGCTGTCCTCTTCCTGGAAAGAATCTCCTGTTCCATTGTTCCTAGACTGGGCAGAGCTCTACTGGCTGAAAGTCAGGCAAAAGCCAGGTCACTTGCGGAGACACAAGTTTTAATGAGTTTGGCTTTTGCAACCAATACTCTCCTGGGATGCAAGAGAAGAGACACCAAGTCATTTGACAGCGAACATCCTCCAGGCAGGAGGTCTTGCTCAAAAGAGTCCACATTTCACTGGGTTGGCACAGAAAATATCTGTCCACATTGTTAATGGGCTGGGAGGAATAAACAGCCAACTCCACCCTTTTGCAGTTCAGTCCAGACTTTCTGCCTTCCAGGACTTAAAAGTGTCTGGGTAAGAATAACCCATGGCCTGTCTAAAACAATGGCAAAATTATCTGAATGTGACTACTCTGCTCCAGACTGGGTGACATTATTGAGTAGTGATCACAAGAGGCAATGGAAGTTGCCCTTCTATATAAAGGGAAAACCCATTGACATTTTCTCAGCAAATTTGTTGCATTTATTTTGCACAAGTAGATAGCTATATTACTTTTTAAATCTCAGATTGCTTGGAAGAAGTGTAGAAAAATTCTTAGCACAGAGGCATGAGCTAGTGAGAAGTCTCTGGCTGCTAGGAAGAACACAGAACACACTGCATGTTCATGCATGTGGTGAGGAGATAGTAGCCACCATTAACCTTAAGGGAGCCATTACCTAAGCTAAAATTCTACAACTGAGGTGTATGGTTTATTTGTGATGCTGCAGCACCTAGTATTATGATCAAACCTGAACCTCTATACCCCTGTTTAGCAGAATGGATAAAAATAAATTAAAAAGAGAGATCAATTTAAATCACAATTTAAAACAAAAATGTTTTTAATTGAAATTGTCAAAAAATCTATTAATTTTTTTAGATCATGATTTAAATCAATTTAATTTAAATCAAGTCCACCCTCCTGCTCAATATCAGACAATGGATCCACATCATGATAAAGATGGGATGAAGGCAAGAAAAGATGGAGAGGGTGGTCTCCCTGAAACTAGTCAGACAGGTCTCTTGCGTCTGCGTGTGGTGTTCTGCCCCAGAACAGTAGATGAAGAAGTTCTTGACCAACAGAGGTTATAGTTACTCTAGAAACCTGCCTCTTTTATTTCAGAGAATAATATCATCAACACTATTACAGCATCAAGTTTTCAGAACAGTTGCCAGGAAACAGAGATACTTGGGCAAAGTGAATCTGAATTCCCATTGTGCATTATAGAACAGCTATCTACATATGCAAACACAGTTATATTCACAAATGCCTCCACTGAGAACTGCAACGCAGACCTGAGTAACTGTTATTCACTCTGTGCCCAGTTGGCTTAATTATTCAACAGTTCACTCAATTACACCACCACTCTTTTGATTACAATAATAATGTTCCAGCAATTAAATCTGCAAACCTTCTGCTGGTTCAGGATGTACTCTAGTGGCTCAGCTTCTATGTTTCAGAATTATCAAAGAGCTCGGATAGCTGAGCTGGAAACAAATGCTCCCCTCTTTCCCCAAGTCAGAAGAGAAGCTTACTCAAATCAATCCTTCCAAAGTCCACAAATATTCGCAGTGCTGCAGAGCCAAGCAAGTAACCAAAAGCCGGACCAAATACTGCAACGGCAAATAAGATGGCTGAAAGACAGAGAGAGAGAGACAGAGAGAGAGAGAAATGAGAAAACGGTCCTTTAAGTGCATGTGTAGTGGTTTAGATATCTGGCTGCAGAGCCAGAAGTTGGGCATTTGATTCCCCACTGTGCCTCCTTTGACAGAGACTAGACTCAATGATACATAGGGTCCCTTCCAACTCTCCAGTTCCAAAATCATCGTTGTTTTTGATGATGATGTATTTTAAATTCTGTTGCAACTTTTCCCTCCTCTCCTAATCTCTCCTCACCAAGAGGTGTGGCACTGGGGAGGGACTTTCCCAAATACAAGCTTGACTGGATACCTCCATGGGCCTGAACTAAGATTGTTGTTTTGTTACCTCACTGGAAGGATAAACAATGTTTGAGGCAAACAGTATAATTAATACTTCTGCTGAACTAAGATAAAAACTTTGAAACACTATTTAACTTTCACTTGGTAGCTAAATTACTAGTAGTAATAGTCCTGCATTGTTTGCTGTACTAAATGGTTACAGTAATAATTAAGAATACATTGGCAACATATAAGCTTTAATTTTTTTTTACAAAATTGATTTAAATTACTAATAAATGGACCAAAAAGGCTAATCATACAATTCCCCAAGGAACACATTAAAATATCATGAAGTGATAATTATTCCACTAATGTTGCTGATGTCTCATGATTTAAATAGAAACTTTTAATCTTTTATGGGTTTTTAAAGTAAGTTAGGGACAATAAATTAATTTTAAATTTTATTTTCAGGCTCTGACTGAGGTGCTACACATCTTACTTTATCTTTTAACAAAGAGAAGGTATTTCTGCTATTCAAAAGTAACCTGGCAACCTTGTTAAAAGAAGGTCAATAACAATGCTTGTTTTGAAGTTTCTCTGGTATCTCTTCAAACTTAAGAAACAGAGTCAGTTACGAATTACAGAATTCAGATGTCAGAATGCTAGATATGTTCTGACTATGCATTAAAAATAAAAATAACACATTTACTAGAAAGGAGCTTCAAGTTCTAGTAACAAATTCTTATTTAATTTTTGTGCAGAAACGTAGCAATTCTGTCTTGTTTTTTATTCTATTAGAAATGTATTCTGTTTGAATATGTGGAAAATATATAGATTTTGGGGAGGGAAGATCAACCAGAGATGGGTTGACCAAGGTGCTGAAACTATGTGCCATGAGAAAGTATTAATAATAACTATATGCCACCAAGTTGATTTTGTCTTAGGACAGCTCTTTCCAGGTTTTTCTAACTACGGAGTAGAGATGGGATATTCATATTTGTCTCCTGGGGGAAATGAATACAAATGTTGCTACTATAGATGGCCAGACCCTTTGGACTCATCCCCCAAAACCGGCCAGTCCATTTATCACTCATGGCATGATGTGTGCAGCCATTGTCCACACCATGCCAATCATGGAAGCAGCCCAGCTAGCGCTTCCCTACCTCCCTGCACTGTTGACCACTCGGCAGCCGAGCAGGGAGACTTGTACCCCTGCCTCCTCTCTGGAGTGGTCAGGAGTGCAGGGAGGTAGGGGAGCGTCGGCCAGCTAGTTCCACGATTGGCAAGGCACAAATGACGAGAACTGTGTGCACTGCACTGCAATTGGTAAGCGGACCAGCCAGTTGGGGGGTGTGTGTTTCCAAAGGGTCCGGCCACCTGTGGTGGCAATATTTGTCTCCCCCAGAAGACAAATATAAATATCCCATCTCTAGTACAGAGTGCTCTGAAGTGGTTTACCATTCCTTTCTTCCGGGACACTCTGGTATTGTGCAGCTTTGTCCAAGACTGCACAGGTTGGCTCTTCTTCCTGCAGGTACAGTGGAGAACAAAACTTCCAACATCTGGCTCTGTGGTCAGATACCTAACCTATTGAGCTATCCAGACAGTATGAGAAAATATTAGCTGTCTATAACTACAGATTTTCTTCCATGATCACCATATTCGCATAGCCATATTTCTACAGATACCACATTTATTATTTAGGGCATATGTATCAGCATTCATTTGTTAAGGCTAAGTCCCAAAGAAACATAGTGGGTCTCAAGTGCCAAAAGATGCTGTACAATTTGTTTATTCATTTAAATGTAATAAATAAACAACATGTTAAAATCTTATCTAGTTGAATTTCACTGGCTTTATGTTAAAAATGTCAAAGAAATTTCATCATTGCTTTCAGACAAAGCAAGGCTGAATGTTCTGGAATATAAAGACCACAGACAGCCACCGGTTTTTGTCATGAATGTTTTGTGGAAACAAGCTATTTGCTATTTGACTCCAGCTCAGGCATACACAGGTGTGCACTTCACATAGTACCCAGGTGTATTGTGCCTCTAGTCAATGGTTCCTAAAGTTGGGATGTTCCCCAGATGTTCTTGCACTAAATTCCTAGATCTGACCATCAGCTAGGCTTCTGGAAGTTGTGGTACAAGTGCATTTGGTGCACACTCATTTACAGGTGCATTTGGTGGGGACGCAGGAAGGGCCTTCTCTGTTGCTCCTCCCAGACTCTGTAACTCCTTCCTGCAAGAGGCCAGCCTAACTCAATCCTTGTTGTGTTTCCAAAAGCAGACGAAGACCTTTCTCTTCAGGTAAGCTTTCCCTTAGTAACTAGCTGCCTGGGTGGGGTTTGTTAAATCGATTGCTGTAATTTACTGCTTCGAATGTGTTTTGGGGTTGCTTTTATTTACCATTTTTAGTGTGATATTTGTTTGATCCTTTCAATATTGTATACTCACTGTTTTTCACTTCACATACTGTCTTTGAATGATGTAAACTGCCTTGGGTCCTTTCTAAGTAGAAAGACGGAGTAAAAGTATTTTAAATAAATAAATAAATAATAATATCTGTGGCTCCCGGTTTAGAAACAACTATTCTAGAGGGATGGCTCCTCGTGCTACCAATTAAAAGATTTTTTAAAACATTCTTAAGACTGTAATTAACTTGAGTCACATTGATCTCAAGAAGTTTGTACGACATGAGACTGTCCTTTCTAAGTAGAAAGGCGGAGTAAAAGTATTTTAAATAAATAAATAAATAATAATATCTGTGGCTCCCGGTTTAGAAACAACTATTCTAGAGGGATGGCTCCTTGTGCTACCAATTAAAAGATTTTTTAAAACATTCTTAAGACTGTAATTAACTTGAGTCACATTGATCTCAAGAAGTTTGTACGACATGAGACTAAATACAACTAAATCTGGATCTGATCCATTATTCAGTTATTCCATCTTGCCCTCCTTGAGGTTTTCTTTTTTTGTGTGTGTGTGTGTTTGCAGAAAGAAAAAAGACAAACAGAAGACATGGGAGTGTTAAAAATGGAAATTATCATGTTTTTCAGGCTCTGAAATTCTGTGAAAATGACAAAGTGATTGCATGTCAAAAACATCTTTTGGAAATTCTCTTTCTGTTAAAAATGTGGATGAATAAGAGGTTTATTTAACAGTTTTGATCCCATCTTTCTGGCCACAGAACCACAAGGCAGGTATCTCCCCAAGTCAGTCACCTGAGGTGAGGTGAGTCTGTGGCAAAATGACAGAGTGATGGGTGGAATCTGAGACTGGCTCAAGTTTAGATTTGCTCTGATTCAGCTTGCCAGTGTAGTCACTGCCTCAGTAAATGAAAATTCACAATTCTTTTTTCTATCTATTATTCATTAGATAGTTTTTTTCTACGACAACTCTCAGAATCCTCCAGTGTGCAACATTAATGCTGCTGAGGTCAATGTAATTACAAGTACCATTGCTCACCGCCATTCATGACAATAGCAGCAATGAGCAATGAAGTCAGTTTCAAGAAACTCAGCAACATCAGAAGCAGCTCTTCAATATCAACCGAAGTTAGGTGAAGAATATTTTTATGTTCCATGTTTACAAAAACTAATTTAAAAAAGAGTCCTTGCTTTCTGCTCAAAGCACACTGATGCTTCTGTGGACTAGATCGCAAGGTCATCTAGATAACAGTAAAGCACTTACCTATATACAAGGCAGAGTTGTTTGGCTCAGCAAAGTCATCCACATAAGAGATCCCAAAAGGTTGGATGGGGACTGTTCCGATTCCTGCTAAAAGCTGAGCAACTACCATTATCCCCCACATGATGCCAGCCTCTGCCTGAGTTTTCATGGTGGTGTTTTGACATGTATATTCACCATTGCAAAGCTCAAATCTGCTGTTGTTAACTGGAATAAGAAAATTCAACAGGAACAACAGAATGAAACTTCATGCTTCACTACATCTAAGTGTCATATCAAAGTATTGCTAATTTTTTTCCCTTTACAACAGAAAAAAAATGTAGAAGTGGGCAAACATCTGATCTGGCATCATCTCGTGTTTATGTTAAAGGAAACCATAAACGAGGAAACCATGGGATACCATAAATGAGCATTATTTGGCAATATGTTTTATTTGACTGCAGCCCACTTCTTCCAATACATGGAGTACAGCCTCAATAGTTGGGAGGAAGGAAATGTGAAACATAACATAAATACAAATGGCCCAATACAGCAAGATGTTAACATTTATTAATAGTCCTGAGGATGAGTGTATAACAGGTACAGATCAGTGGTGGTCATTAAATATCCATCAAAGGTCATAGAGGAATGGCTGTGACTGTTACTTGTGCAAACTCACTCACTCTGTGGATCTAACTCAAATATTTCCCAGTGATTCACTGTATAACCCATTGCCTACAGTAAATAAGTGAAAAAGACAGACCGCCATGACTTTTACAAATCTTTAGGATTGAGATGACCTCCCCCCACACCAAAAAAAAAAAATCATTTTAACAATAGTGGACATGGGGCCAGTAAAACCAAGGCTGGGATTCAGCAAGACTCATGCACAAAGGAAAAGCACATACCCATACATATATGTGGAGGAGGAAAATGATTGATTTCCCCTCTCCAAGTTGGATAGGGAATGCTTTTGAAAACAGAGACTGCTTCAGGAAAGGGGGAAAGATGATGAGAACTCATGTACCACAGAATGATGATGTACAGTACTTTGGACCCTGGACAGTGAGTTTTCCATGTACTCATTGCCTGGAGGCAAACAGTCCCTCACATTTTGTGGAAAAAGCAAATACATTTATGCTTCACAGACTTTCTTGTAAGGCTGAGCTAAATATTCAGGGAGAAACGCATTCTTAAGCTTCCTTACCAATCTCTCATTCTTGGGCACTGGAGTCCTGCCAGAACCATAAACTTCCTCAATTTAATTAGCAGCTGTCATCACCTTTTTCTTGCAAGGTATTACCACAGGACTGCTTACAGGGATATGTTCTGAAAAGGCTTTTAACAAAGGTGCAGCAGTGCATCTGGAAGCTAATTTTTCCTCCTCCACCCCCTAGGAGTGATGTTTGGGGGGGGGAGATATATCAAAAGCCAACTGGGTAAATATTGAAAGAGGCGTCACTGTGGTTTGTCCAGGATTCTTATGTGTTTTCAAATCACCCATTAGTTTTAATGGTGAACAGGTTGTTCAAGGGTGAAGGATGAAATCATTTCCAATCTATTAACTGAAGTAATTGCAGTTCCTCAGAGTGAACAAAACAACGTTTAAATACCTAGAAGCTAGAAACCCACATTCAATAGAAAATCAAAATAACACAGTGACCTTGCCATTCACTACAACACTCATCCATCTTGCACCTTGTTATTTGTTCATTTTCACAATTGTTCCAGTATTGTAATCAACTCACAGCACTTAATGAGTGTCCCTGTAGGCTTGTGGTACTTTGATTGCATTTTAAAACAAATGAAACAGGATTGTTAACCAGGTAATTTAAGGGTTTCAGATGATATAAGATCACTTGATCCATATACAGCAGGACACTGTCACCAGCATGTCTGTATGTGGTTGTTAACAGCATCATTACTACATTGGTCTAGAATGTAATTGCAGAATTCAGGGTCCTTCTTAACCATCTCTTACTTACTTTTAAGTATTTAAATTGCCAAAGGGGCCTTTTCAGAAATGCAGTCCATGACAAAATAAAAATTTTACAAGTTAGACCAGTTTGGGGTAAATGAGAAGAGAAATGCCAACTAAACCAAGGTCCTTTGGGTTTACATAAATGTTCCTGGGTTTCTGTCTCTTGCCAAAGAGACGCCAAACAGATCAGGGAGGAACATACTGGAAAATCAAAGAGTCATGGAATTTCCTGCCGTGAAGTAAACACCATTGATGGTAAGAAGTGTTTTTGCCTATGTACATGGAGATGAAAATCCATTTAAAGACAGGGACATAAAACAGTAGGAGATCTGGATTAGGAATACAAACGTGTGCCAGAGTAAACTCATTAAAACGAAGCCATTGATCAATGATGAAGCCACTGCTATCTTTATATAACATATTTCCCTAATCAGGAGTAAGTATTTTGGTGGTTTTTCAGAGAATCTTAAGCACTTCCTTCAGAGAACTTCCTGAGCATAAATGAGACAATCTCAGCCATCATCTATCCAGAACTTTCCTGATAATTATGTCAGTAACTATCCAATTGTGACAACTTCTTGATATGTCTGAAGATGACTTGTCAGCTTCAACCATTATTTCTTTTTTCCAGGCTCTGATGTGCTATATGATACGAGTAGCACTTAGCAATAACTCAGTTACATAATCTGTACCTTTGAGGTGTGATCTGACAGTGGAGAAAGGCACACATCCAATTGCACCAGAAAGAACCAATTTGCAGGGGTTGATCTCTCTTAAAGTAACTCTTCTCTCCATCAGGGAATCACACCAGCCTGCCCCCCCAAAGGTAGCAGCTCTACAGCTAGAACAAAATGTTCCTGCTAGGCCATGGATCAGGTTCAGTTCCTTATATGTCAAATTACTGCTGGGAAGTAGATCACACCAGACCCCTCCACAAGTGGAACAAAATGTGACCTATTTCCCTGTGATCACACCCCAAGTCTAAAATGCAGATTTCAAGGCCCTAATATCTAATCTTCCTATCCCCTTTCCATTTCCTTTTTTTTTTTTTTTAGCATCCTAACTCGATCATGAGTTCTAGAGAACTCAAAGGTTTGTGGACTACTTTATGTAAGCTTTATTTATTTATTCCTAGATGTAACTATTACCATTTGGATGCAAGCTTTATAGTTGTGCAAATTTTATTTATACAGTTCTGACTGCCAATATTACTTTGAGGAAGGTCTTGCTTTTTAAACTTTTCCAGTGAAAAACAGTCCACTGTAGATGGTAGCAAATACACCATTCTGTTCTAAGGAAGTTATTTTGGATTAATTCCCATGAGGCAAGAGTTGTAGAAAATCTTGGGCTGAAACCTCATATAGATTTCATAGGAAAGATCCACGAGTAGAATGATAAGCTACACTTATATCCTCCTCACAAAACGTTCCTTACAAAATCCACATGGCACATCCACATCTTGATTTCCTTGTTTTACTAGGGGAAAATCTATGATATTTTCCCTGGGTTGGTGTGTTTTTTTCAGCTGACTGGTTAGATAGCTTGGTAAGTTGGGGGTTTGACTGTCCACTGTTCCTCCCAGCAGAAGAGCATGCCACCAAAAGAAGAAACTGCTAAAACATTTCTGAGTATGTTATACCTAGGAAACCTGGCAAAAGCCACCATAAATTGGAATCAATTTGATGGCACCTAATTACAGTTAGTTTTCTAGTTGGCATACTTCTAGTGTGAGGCACAGAAAAGATGTTGGTGTGGAAGTAGCAGAATGACCAATTGCACCAGATATCCCTGCATGGAGTCCTAGTTCAGGAGAAACTATGGTTTACATTTTAGCAAAAAGGTAAAGGTAAAGGTTCCCCTTGACATTTTAGTCCAGTCGTGTCCGACTCTAGGGGGCAGCGCTCATCCCGCTTTTCAAGCCATAGAGCCAGCGCCTGTCTGAAGACAGTTTCCATTGTCACGTGGCCAGCATGACTAGGGAACGCCGTTTTACCTTCCCACCAAGATGGTACCTATTTATCTGCTCGCATTTACATGCTTTCGAAATGCCAGGTTGCCGAGGAGCTGGGACTACTATTCCTGAGCTTACCAATGACTTTTGACATCTTGACTTCCTTGTTTTATGAGTGTTAATAGGAAGAATGTTTTTCTGCTTACTTCCTGGACACATCATAGATAAATATTATTACATGGTTATATTGTATGATTAGTAGGTATTGAAGGTTCCCTATGTACCTGCCAACCCTTTCTAGATAAACTCTCACCCACCCACTTTCTCTACATTTCCGTCTTTGAAAAGAATACATGGGTAGGTTTAATTTACAAACATGCATCATGTAAGCCAATGCCAGCTGGTACTACCAGAAGGAACACTTCTTGCCTACCAGTCAACTGGACTATTGTTGGAATGAGATACTGGTTCAAGGAATGAAAAAATATTGGAGGAAAGCTTAAAGGCAAAATTGCTTACATCAACAAGCACTGAGTGTATCACCCTTCCTCTTTTGATGCTATAGGGTTTGGTCAGAGGGAAATGCATATGTGGTATTGTGATGTTTACAAGCTTCACCATCTGATAGAAGTGTTGCATAGTTTGGTAGCCTCAGAGGAAACTTAGATTTCCAAAGAAGCCATTCAATATACAACAACACACGCTGAAACCAGATGTGAACCAAAACATGCATCATCTCAGGTTGCCTGGCACTGATTCAGCTTGGCACACCCAGAGACAGGCAAGTCATTACACAGAGAAAACAGCATGCCTCAGGGGTATTGGAAGACAGGATGGCTATGAGCCAAGTGATTTCAAAGTGCAACTATGTTTTCAGACTTATTTATCAGGAAGCACAAGGCACTACAGAGGGAAATCTATCAAGGGCTGTGAAGCATAAGCACTTAAAGAGAAAACTTGACTATGAACCCCCAAGAGCAGGAAATGATGTGTGCAATTGTACTGGGGAGTGGGGCTGTAACAATAATTATGTTTAATTATTTTACGTAATTTGCCTCAGGGATCTCTTTGGTTGGGGTAGAAATCAAAACAAAAAAAATCCTCACCATTCCTGGAGGACTGGGACAGAGGGAGATATCTGAAAAAGCTACATACCGACTCGTGCTGTCGAGTAGTCATATGGGGCTGAGAGGAAATGTGGAAGCGTTAAAAGGAAGGCTCCCAGGGCCAACAGTAGTCCTCCCAGGCCAATTATCCGAGGCCGGTGAACTCGACTGCCAAAGTAGCTCACAAAGATAATGAGAACAACATTGCCAATCTGTGGAAATAAAAGAGTGCCCATATGAGAGAAGTCAAAACAGATCTGACAGAGAAGACTAGTCCGTGACCACCAGAACTCGGAAGTAACATCAGTAATATAGTTACTTGTCATTAATTGGGGGCTTGGGGGGAAGTAATGAGGATGTAACAAAACTCTATTAGTAGCACAAGGAAGAAGTTAATGGTGTCTGCCGTCATATTTCCTACTTACTTTCAAAAGTTACGTTTAAAAAGCATTCTGAAGGATTTTTGGAAGCATGTTGACAGGATGTGTTTGATTCCATAACCTCATCATCAATTCTAAGCATTTTTTAAAAGTAGTAAAGTAACATATGGAATAACACATAAAAAGTTTTGTCTTTTTTTTACAAATTACAATGACAAGAAGTAAGTTACTTTTCAAACACTGCAATGAGTAATAGAAACAAATCACTCTTAAAAAGTACTTTTCCAATCTCTGGTGATCACACAGAGTTCTCAGTGCCTTTTCTTCCTACTTCAGTTTATTCTGGGAAGATCCTCTCCTCCTCTGTATGCCTGTAGTGTTCAACATTATTTTTTAAAAAACTGATGCATAACTATATAGCTCCAGTTCACAAGCTTTCTCTCTAAGAAAGATGCTCCAGCCAGCCACACATTTTGGACCAGACTCACCACCACTGCAGAATCTTTCCTTTATGGAGGTACAGAGTGGAATAACCTGGGACAGGCCACCGAAGTACCATGACAGAGATTTCCCACCACCATCTTGCTGGTGGACAATTCTATACGGTGTGTATGTGGGGTGTCACTGCAGAGTTGGGGAAAGGGAGCTTGGCTCTCCTTTTCAAACATTTTTCTCTCATGTCTTTAGATTTTTAGATTTCATGGCTTTCATGATGTTTTCCTGTGCCTTGGTCTTCATTGTACAGTACTGCATTTTTATTGCATAGTTCCTTTTGCTTTTTGCCATCTACCCTGTGAAATGTTGTTATTGGGTGGATGAAAAACATAACACATAAATACATTCCTAAGAATAAGAATAAACGTATGATGGAGATGAGAAGATACCCAACTCAATAATATGCATGTTATGATGTGATTCTACAGTATATCATTCAAAGACATCCATTCCACTCTAGGTAAGACAACCTCCTCTTTCCAAATGCTCTCCAGAATTTGTTAACAAGGGACTAGATCTGTAAACATTAAAAGAAAATGGGAGAATCAAGCAGTGAAGAAAAAGGCTCAAAGACATCTGGGAGTATGACATCAAAAATCTGTACAATGGTGGGAAATATCACCATAGGACTTGCATGTCTTAGAGAAATGCAAAAGATTGGAGACCTTAGATTTATTTCATTTTTGTGACACATACGTACACTTGAGCTAGAAGAGCTGCAAGCACCTGCAAGCTTCCTGCTCTGTGGAAATGCAAGTTTCATTTTACAGAGTTTATCTTAGATTTCATCCCTTGATCCTGTTGTTATCCAATGTGGAATTTTGAAGGGGTGTGTGTGTGTGTGTGTTGCATAAATGACACCTTAAAGTGAACATTACTACACAAGAATTTAGCATTCTTTTGTGCCAATTTCGTTCAAATAATTGCAGGCCGGCATTAAGTAAGAATCTGCCCCATGTATATTTCGTCCTATTCAAAATGCATTCAGATTTAACATTCTTGAATGGCCAGAGTTGTGAAAGAAAATGGACATGTGATTCAGATTATCTTTCTCCTGGTGTCTGTTTTAAAAGTCTGGATGTTAGCATCTGTGTAACTGAAATTATATGGATTTGGAAGTTTGGTATGAGCCAAAAAAACCCTGTTGTCTCAAAACATCTCATATGTCACTGTTAAACATAATGTGTGGCTTACATAAAGTTACAATTACACTGGCCCGGTTCAGTCTTTGAGGTAAATGCAACATTTCAAATTATCTTAATTGTACCTAAGTTTCCTCATTCTCTCCCCCATTTTATGGCTTTTGGATTCACTCTAACAAACAGATGAAAAAAATATTTATAGTCTCAGAAAAAATCAGGCAGGGGAGCCCATGGAAGTTCTCTACAGAAGTATGAAAAATGCCCTGGAAGAAAAGCAGATTAATGTGGACACGATGGCAACAACATACTTAATGTGAGGGTTGGAACAAATTACCAGAGTGAAACATCTGGAAGAGGACACTACAAAACAGACATCTTATCCTTTGAAGGAATAAGAGACTTCCCAAACAAAAAGGCACCATTTGAGGGGCACATTAAAAGTAATTAGAAAGTTCCCATGTCCACCACAATGGGTGGAACAAACAGTTATAGGCTTTTGAGAGAGAAGGGAATCCAGTTGTCTATCCTTCAAGGTACTGTGGGCACTCGGCTGGATCTACTTCTAATGAAAAGCAGGCTAGGCTTGCTTGCTGCCTCAAAGGAAAGTCCTCATAAGGGATCTTTGGCCTCCAAGCAGATGCCGGGTTCTGTGGTTAACATCTCAAGAATCATTCTCAGATGTGATGAAGGACCTACTTATCAGTTCACATTCTAGTGCAGTGATTCCCAACTTTGGGTCCCCAGACACTCTTGTACTGCATCTCAGAAGCCCTTGCCAGCACAAATGATGAAGGCTTCTGGGAGTTGCAGACAAAGAACATCTGGGGACCCACTGTTCCTATCCTGCCACTCTGTTGCTATTTCCCACCAGATGGGATGTGGTAAGGCAGGCCATTCTAAAGACTGGAGTTATACTCTTCGCTGTACTGAACTGTGCAAGCTCTATCCAACAAAAGCATGACCATTTTTTTATCTGATGTGCCCCTCTCCCTCCTCACCTTTCCCATTCCCCTTAACCATGGTTTGAACAAGCAGACACTATGGAAGATGCTTTCCCAAGATAGGACATCTTTTTGCTGAAAAAGTATTTAGCCAATCACTACACCTCATCCCTTTGAGTAAGGAAACAACATGCTTCAGCGATTTGCCAGAATATTCAAGGGGACCAGAGTATGTTTCAGCTACTTTCTGACATTTGGATTGGAAGTTCTCTACAGAATTTCTGAGCACAAAATATGGATGGCAAAAAAAGTAGCATGATGGTTTGATTTCATATGAATGTTATCCACTACCTCCCATTATCTCTGTTAACTCCAGACATTCCAAAGAACATTCACTGCAAATTCTTTCACACACTTCAGATCTTGAGCACCTCAAATTGGCTGGCACTGCTGCTCGAACCACTGTGAAATATTTCTCTGGGACAGCCCTTGGGGAATGGAATGGGATGGAAAACAAACTTAAACAGATAGGGCAATTGTGCTGAAACAGCTGAGCTATTTTCAGTGAATGTGGGGCTTTCAGAATTCATTTTGTTTGTTGTGTTATGGCTGGCAAAGCTGTTCACCCTGACAGATAATTGACTCTCAGATGGGGATTCCACTCTTCCTTTATGTGCGAGTCAGGCCTTGAATCTAATGTTTACTTCAGCACCATACATTTTGTTTCCACCAATGTGTCTGTGCTGTTTACATGTGACAGTACACCCTGTGCAAGTGTAGCAGTGTCATTGCTAATTGAAACACTTCTGTTTTGGGATTTCTCTTTTAAGACTCATAGAATTTGACAGCACCTTTTGCCAGATTCCAACCACTTTGCCAAAAATCAAGCTTACAATCAAAGCCATTAATGGTTCTGAGTCATGAAGGGCCAAGTTCCAACTTGAAATTTGCTTGAGGGAATCCAGAAAAATATTATACTACAAGCTACTGGAAAACAATACCACACAGGGAAGTCCAAAGCCAAGAAAAGCCTACTGTTGACAGCTGGGTAGTGGTGAGTAGACTAGCATATAAACCAGCAGTTCCCAACCTTGGGGAACCAGATGTTCTTGGACTGCAACTCCCAGAAGCCTTCACCACTAGCTCTGCTGGCTAGGAGTTGTGAGTTGCAGGCTAACAACATTTGGGGATCCAGGGTTGGGAACCATTGATATAAACAGTCAGAGAAGGAATAGCCTATGACAGATGGGGCACTTAATCTCTCATACTTCCTATTTACATTTTATTGATTTTGCATCCATATCTTCCACACCAGCAAAAATGTCTCAGCTATGACTCTGAATTTCATCATCACCATAATCATTCCTTGACCCTCAGCAGGATACTAAAATTCTACAGGCCTTCTTCTAACACATCTCCTTTGGGTTTCTTGCCTCTGGGGACCAAACCATATGGTACGGATAATCTGTTACTAAATCTGAAATCATGTTAGTGCTTCAGAAAGGTAGTTTAGGCAGACCTTTCTGCTGATCAAATTTCCAAACAAAATCTGTGTTAAACTCCTAAATCCAGATTATAAATGTGAAATGAAGTCTCAGGATGTAGAAAGCAGAATTGAGTTATTTATTCTGTATTCTTTAAACGGGTAGTTAAAAAGCTCTGGCTCAATGCATTTCGGCGATTGAACTGATTGAAAATGTTTTGGAGCTAGTATAGATGAAACAAAGGTGCAGAGTGTATAAAGAAGCTTGCTCCTGAAGATGGCTTTGCCGAAATGCGTAGAACCAGAGCTTTTTAATTACCCATTTAAAGAATACAGAATAAAGAACCCAATTCTCTTTTCTACATCCTGAGACTTTGTCTCACATTTATAATCTGGACTTCCATGGATGTATCAGTTCCTTTTGTTTTGTTAAACTCCCGAAGACCAATAACAAAAGAAAATAAACAGATCAAGGAACTACAAAATATAAGGAAAGTTTCTGGCACGATAATCAGATGATTTTAGCAGTTAAAGAATTTTCTCTTATAATAATTGGTTATCTGTAACATACTGTTTGACTGAAGCTACTCTTCCTCCTTGTCTATGTTCCAAGGAAATGATCATGTGTTTAAGTTTACTGAAAATGAAGGAATTTAGAGGTGTTGGATGGAATTTTGGCCGTGGCTGCAGTTCTCCCTCTGTGGGCATGTCCTATGTGTTTGAGTAATTCTAATCAGGCTTTAAGCTACAGAAATAATGTAGGACAGTATTGGGGACAACTTCAGTCTTCTCAGGGAGAAAGACAAAACACAATCTGGGTAATGCTGTCTTTGCAAACAGAGTCTATGGAAAATATTTAAGAAAGAATCCAGGAAACAACTGGAGTTGGAGGGTCGGCATTCTGAGGCTGCATTCGGAGAAGCAGAGCAAAAGGAGAGGCCAAGCTGTGAAACTGCTGCAGCTGGCTGGGTTCCAGACCAAAATGATGATGACGACATTCCCTGGAGAAGAAGGAATTCTCATGGGAAGCACTGACACATGCTTAATTATGGGGGAACTACAAAAGGTGCTGCTATAATAAAGCCTATCAGCACGTGTAAAGCACTGGTCTTAAATGATGGAAAAGGTCAAGGGATGCTGTAATGGTCTGACTCACACTGCTGTAACAAATTAGGGGGTTGTACCTTCTTCTAATATAGCATTAATGTGTAACATAGCATTACACACCAGTGCTTTTGTGGGCCTGGCAGAAAGTGACTACCTATTAGATCCTTGGGGGTAGAAGGACTCCTTTTGTAAGGGGGCACGGAAATGTAGCTCAGCCTTTTCTCCTTTCTTAGGGGGATAATTAGATGGCAGGAGAACAGATGATCCAAAGAAGATATTCAGTCAATATTACCTATTTGATTAGCCTATTTCCACTAACAAGAAGAATCAATGAAGTGGAGTAGGGAAAAGCAGAAGTACTGTTAGATTTTATAGAGAAACTGAGAGTTAAACATATGAGTGCTCTGTAGAGGTTGTGCATGTAATATAGCAACAACTATGGCTTTCAGTTATTGTAACTGCATGCTCCTCCAGGGTCAAGACATAATAACCTGTAATTCCTCTTATATCATAAGTTAGCCACTGATAGCTGCTCATTCTCTCTCCGTCACCCAGTCCCTCTACTCCACCTCAGCATGGGATCACACCCACTGCTTCATAAACCATGAATACCGGACAGGTTCACAGACATCCAGAGTAAGCTTAGAAAACGAGTGTTTCCCACCTCAACCTGACTGAGCATCCCCAATGTGCTTACCTCATGCAAACTGGAAATGAAGCCAGAGGACAAACTAGAGAGTCCAAAGCGTTTTTCAATGGTTGTCAGGCTGCTCTTGAAGTAGGCACTGTAGAGGAGCTGGGCCAGCTGTAGCAAACCATGGCAGGCCACAAACACCTATCAACATAAAAATACTGAGTTAGGGGTACAGCCAAATGAAGCCCAAAGAATAACCAATACAGTGGTGCCTCGCACAACGATTGCTTCATACAACGATGAATTCACACAGCGATGGGTTTTTTTGAGGAATTTCCCCCATCGTTTAACGATGTTCCCTATGGGGGAATTTCACTTAACGATCTCCCTTTTTGCTCATTTAAAAGTGTCTTAAAATGTTTGAAACCTGTTTTAAATGCTTGGATTCCATAGTGCACCTTGTGAAACATGTGCAAACTTAATTTGGTTTTGTTCTGATTCTTCATTAATTTTTGGTGATTTTTTAATTTTCCCCATTTAAATCAATTGAATGGACAGTTCAATGCATTTAAATAGGGAAAACAAAAAAATCACCAAAAATTAAGGACGACTCAGAACAACACCAAATTAAGTTTGCATAGGGTTCAGGAGGTGGGCTAACGATTGCAAGCATTTAAAACCTGTTCCAAACATTGTAAGACACTTAAAAATGAGCGAAAAGGGACATCGGAAAAGACTTCAAAAGCACTGAAGCCGGCTTCAGTGCTTTTGAAGCTCTTCC